AAACACTCACGCTCATGGTGGAAATCGGAGAGCGCCTGGGCTCTTGGCAATATAGAAGCGTGAAGCAGAAGCGACTTTAATGTCTGAGGACACAACAAACCACACGAGACACGAGGGGGGATGAGATGTGAAAGCGCGAGTTGATGTTGTTGCTGACTGGTGAGTTTGCAACAATGCACAATCGACGCGGAAGAAGAACGAGTTGCCGGAATGAAGTGGCAGTTGTTCAGATGAAAGGAACGAGATGTACGGAGTGCGTCGCGGCTTAGTCCGTAGCCGTGGTGGCAATCGAAGGGATTTGCTCAGTGCTCACTGCAGCGCCTGGCCGCTCGTTGCCAAAAGGGGGCTCAGCGCATCCTTGTACCCCCTGGCCATTCACGGCCTCCCCAGCCACCAAGTGTGGAGTGCTTGATATGTATAATGTACCTATTCACTACCTATTTATAGCACCAACTACGGTGGCTATTCAGCGTGCAGACGAGTGCCTGCCAGGTACCTGGGCAGGGGCCCGAGGGCACCGGCGACCGCCGTGCACGCACACACGGTAGATGCACCAACAGAGTCGGCCGCAAGTGAGCCGCTAACCACGTTGGTCGGAGGTTGTCCAGGAGAAGCGAAAAACCAACCTCTACTCCAACGTCTGGCTGCTTTATTCAAGGCCCCTTGCGCTAACCGGCCCATGTTTCATGTGCAAGGTGTGGCGTCCAATTGTTTCGGCGTTGCCTTGATGAACTTCTGGTCGAGGGACTCGAGGCTATTCCGACTTGGAGATCTGTTGGCATCGATCGAAGTCATTCTCCAGGCATGATCATCACGAGATGTTCGTCTCGAAGGTAGTCTGGGCCGATGGCCCTCCACAATTTTGAGGCTGCAACACATGTCACATTGCCACATACATCGCCATATGCAGACATCCTTGTTCGAGATTAATTCAAAAGAAATACCGGTGCTTGCATTCAGAATACGTGTCCCTGTCATCTTATCTAACATTGTCTGCTCCGGCGTGATAGCAGGTTGCGTGGCAAGCAAGTGACGGAGGGTTCGGTATTTGCTCCTTGTTGAAGCTGGCCGAGTTAAATTGCTCTACAAAACAGCATAAGCCGACACATAGCTAACACTGGATTCGCTAGGCTTAAGGACATCATCGCTTCGCTGGTACTGTGTGATTTTGAAGCGTCCTTTCGTGGGATCCTTTGTCTCCTGGGCAATTATCTCCAGCGCAGCCATGACCACACCGATGGGATGTCTACCACAGACCGTATTTCTTGTCAGCTCTAGGTTGTCGACAAAGGCATCGTGACTTCCACTCTTGACAGCATCCATGGTTGCCTCATCCAGTACTTTAATCGTTTCGTGGATGGGGAGGCCCACTGGCGGGGCATCTGATACTCGCAAATTCATAAGCTTTGTGGGATCGTTCTCTGGCGAATAGACCATGTACTGAAAGTTCGCTCCCCAATGACAAAAGTCGGAGCTGATGATGAAGGCGTTTTGCTCGTCTCTCAAGTAGGGCGCCAAGAGTCTTCCTACGCTCTTTTCTCCGTCTCGGTCGAGATCTCCGATGAGAATGGGAACTATGGTGGGAAACTCGTCGGGCGCACCAAATGTCTCTTCGCAGCGCTTGTACAGATACGGGAGATGCATCTCCAAGGAGTGCTCTGCCCGATCATTTGACGCGGGAATGTCTTTCATCCGTCCTGCGTCCTTGACTTCCTGCAACGTCTCTAGATCCACTCGTAAGTTGCCATATGGAGTGGCATGCTTGCCATATGTAGTCACGGCACATCCTTCAAGATAGTATGTGTGGGAGGGGCCCAGGACGAACACTCGCGTTGCTCGGCTGAGATCCAGGCACTTGTACGCCCAGGCTGCGCAGGGACCTGAGAATGAATATCCTGCGTGACTGTAGGAAATGAGTTTTTCCGACTTGTTTTGTTTTGTAGAGGAGTTTGCTTTTTCATCCATAAAGGCTTTCCTTGGTTGATAAGGGGAACATTCTCCTGGTCGAACCCAAGTACATATGGCATACGCAGAAGACTTACGGTGCAATCACAATTCTGGCCCCGTCTATAGGCAATCTGTGACCGTGAATGAATTCCGGTACATCAGATAGGTATCCCTCTAGCTCGGTGTCCAGCTCGTCTGGTGAGGCGACATACCAGGAGCCTGCCTTTCCGGCCCTTCTGGTGGCCATTTCGTGTCGTGGAAAGTATCGGACGTGTCTGCTGAGAGTCGGTATCCGCAAGACAGCGAGTGTCAAGGAATGAGAGATTCAAAAGAAGAGTCGGGTAACGTTGTTCAACACTTATGTGTTTGGAGTGGAGTGATGGAGGCTGAGTGGTATTTGTTGAGCTTCGAGGTGATGCATGTAACAAGTCGTAGTGCAGCACCTGTCAGCGACTGACTGTCACCAACATCTAAGCCTCCGATTTGCCCCGCTGTTATCTGCGGGGTACAAGTCATCTCGTGAGGCCTTTCGGGGGAATCTCCGGAGGCAGTGACTTGATCGGAAAGCGGCACAGTTCGCAATAAACGGTTGTGTCCATCATCACTCTACGTGAGAAAGACTGTTCTATATTCATCGTGGCTATGCACGAGTCCTCGGTAGCTTGTACATAGTCCTACCGTTTGGGTGCAGGTACGTAATACTCCAAGTAAGATCGCAAGGCAATATCAATGCAGCATGAATGTTGCATAGGTCTCTTTTCAGATTTACACCCTCACTCAACAAGCCACGCATCAGACCAGGTGAGGGAGACCTTTTAACCAAAGAGGAACAAAAGTTCCTGCCAGTGGCGTAAGAAAGGAACCCGAACCTTATTTCCAGCCATCGACCCGTGCCATGTTGTTCCAGACGAGTGCTAAAAAGCGATAGGGTAGGTCATCAATACCGACTTGGCTGAGTTTGACTGACCCATTTATTGTCCAAAAGAGTCTTGCAGCTAGCCAATTAGCATTCCCATCCGCTGTGTGCGGAAAAACACAAATTCCATCTTTCTTCAATTCTCACTGCACGGGTCAAAAAAAAAATAATCGAGACGACAGTTACTCGCCCATACCGATCGCACCACAACGACCCAGCCTCACACCCCTGGAATTTCCAGCAAAAATCATACACGCATCATGTCATTCAGAGGCGGCCGTGGTGGCGGCGGCTTTGGAGGTCGAGGTGGTGGTGGCTTCAGAGGTTGGTGAAACCTCTTGCTCTTCACATTCCTGCTTCCCGCAGTTGTCGCGAAGCTGGAGCTTCAAAAAAGAGCAGAAACATCAGAAAGGCACATTCGGAATCGTTACGCTGACAGTTTTGTTCCCTTGAATCTCACTAGGTGGCCGAGGTGGTAGCTTCGCCCCTGCTGGGCCCCCCGCCGAAGTCCAGGAAATGGGCACCGTCCAACACGCTGTCGAAGGCGAAATGTTCTGCCGCTCCTCCAATGTCAAGATCCCCTACTTCAACGCGCCCATCTTTCTAGAGAACAAGACGCCCATCGGCAAGGTCGACGAAGTGCTAGGCCCCATCAACGAAGTCTATTTCACCATCAAGCCACAGGAGGGCATCGTCGCGACGAGCTTTAAGTCTGGCGACAAAGTTTACATTGGCGGCGACAAGCTTCTGCCACTGGAGAAGTTCATCCCCAAGCCCAAGGTCCCTGGTGAGAAAAAGCCCAAGCGAGCCGGAGGTGCCCGTGGCGGTCGTGGTGCTCCCCGAGGTGGTGGCCGTGGAGGATTCGGCGGTGGTCGCGGTGGCCGAGGCGGACCCCGTGGTGGCGGCGGCTTTTCAAGAGGTGGTGGCCGTGGAGGATTCGGTGGTGGTGGTGGTGGTCGTGGAGGATTCGGCGGTGGTCGCGGAGGAGGTCGCGGCGGCTCTGGCGGATTCTCACGAGGCCGTGGACGTGGTTTCTAGACGGATTCTGGGCCATCCTTTATTCCTATTTCACGGGGCAAAAAAAGATTCGGGAACAAGACGGAAAGAGAACGGCTTCTGATACGATGTGATGCAACTTTGCGTGGAGAAACGTGCTTCTTTGCTATTGCCTGGCCTTTATTTGGGAAGGGAAGAATTAAAAGGCTCGCACACACACACACATTGGGCGTTTATGGAAAGATCCTTCTTGGCCACTGTGGACTGGTTCTGGACGGTGGTATTGTTTGTGGGTTGTATAATTTCAAACCATCGCATCACCATATGCCTGGAGGGGCTTGGTTGTCTGCTTTTTTGGTCTTTTTACTTTCTGCTTTCTTATTGATTTTGGGCTGCCTGGAATTGAAATGACATTTGAAACGGCTTTTCATGAATGTCAGGTGCGATCTCAATTCCGTACATGCATGTACGGAGCCCACAAGCCTGTATGCCGCATGTCGGGTAATAACGAGAGTCAATGGACCGTAACTGAGCAAATCAAGTCTGAAAGACACGAGGATGAAATAGTAGCACCAAAAGACGGTTCATCTACTCCTCATCACCATGATCAGCTACTTTTCCCCCAAAAAGAGCTAAGCTCCTGCCTGATAGGTACGTCTGGGCGCGGAGCACAGAGCAGTGTACAGGGAGTCTTGTTCCTATCGAACACACATACATATCAGCCCATACACGCAGGGCAGCAGAAGCTAGTACATGCCATGCCGGAGCATTCAATGCATGCGGTGTGATGTTCTCACGAGGCCTTGCATTAAAGTCTAAAAATTCTGGCTTGATGCAAGACTTGCATTAGTGAGAAGCTGGCCTCGATGCTTCCACCCTTCACATACGCCGTACTCCGTTCCGTAATGATATCCTGCATCATGCTACCTACCCACGGACCACGGTGTACACGTCGATAAAAGATATGTAGCTAGGTATGTACTCCGTAAATGTACGGAGCATTGCCTCACATGAGGGAAGATGCAGTGATTTAATCCTGGCCTTCCCAGATGCCACTGGCCAGTGCCCCACTGCTCACTCACCAAACCAACAGCAACTTCGTGCAAAGCGCCCCAAAAAAATACGGCACCATCAAAAGAAGTGTCCCCGGTGAGAGTCGAACTCACGACCTTCGGATTACTCCAACCTTGGGTTGAATCATATCGCTATGAGACCGACGCTTTAACCAACTAAGCCACGGAGACCGGTCGCTTGTTGAACACAGCAGTGGTTATATCATACTATAATCACATGATACTAGACAAGAAGTGTACAAACAACACCGGCCTCCTCATTCGGCAGTCACAACGTCAACATCACGACAAAACAAAGAACCATCGAACGTCAAATGCCAATGCTGTGTTACCAAGGCCTGCACCGTCTCCATTGAATTCTGGACTTCACTGCTATCTACGAATACAGCCTATAGTCATTCTTCTTCCCCCTTTCTTGGAAGAAAGCAGACAAGACTTCGCGTTCATGCTGCTTTGGTTCAACATCATCAAACGCCGCCCCGTATGACGCATGCCAGATCCTAATATTTACTTGCGTTCGACCCACCAAAACGCCGCTTAATGAGAACAGAAGACAAATAAGAAGAAAGGAAAGACAGTAAAGAACTACCTACATACAGACACATGAATGATTTGAGAAAGAGAAAGTGACTCCGGTGGTGAGAGAACGTGAGTATGCCAATGTTAGTGCTCATGAAGGCGATCTTGGCCGCTTTGAAGCAGAGAATTGTGATTTCCTCGCTCCCAGGTAAAACAAAAGAAGAGAGAAAGAAGAAAGAACCTGATGCCCCTCAGTCAATAGGGAGCTTGACTCTTTTCTTCTTTGCCACAATATTCCTGTCATGTGCTTATAAATGTATATGAAGTTAAGAAAAATACATGGAAGTGCCTGATGTGTTCGCTTTTTGTTAGTTTTGCGTCCTGCTCGATCGACGCCTTTTCAAAAGACATGCTAATGGCGAGCGCCACCCTGGGTCGAATCGCTTCCTCGACGAGTCGACGAGGCCGCCTGAGAGAGTGTTTCGGCACCAGGGCAACAACCTTGCTCTTGACAATCGTCAATGCACTCCAAAAGACAGCCGTTATCACTAGCACCGTCCAGACCACCGCCATCGATCCGCAGAGCCACAGCATCCCCAACGTGCCGGTGTTGCTCGTCAAGACAAAACTCAGGCTGAATGGTAGCGCTATGAATGCCGTATCCATGAAGACACTTTCGGGCTCTCTTGGCCAACTGCATATACTTTTCGCCACTGTGCTCGTTGATTGGGAAGGCAACTTGCAGATGCATGCTGGCGACAACCTTTGTGTCAGACAATTGCCAAACGTGAATGTGATGACAGCTGACTACTCCTGGAAGACCCTCAATGTCTTGGCGAATTTCTTGAACGCTTATGTTCTCGGGAGTCGCTTGGAGAAGAACTCTTGCCGTAGCTCGAGTCAGGGGAATAGACGTCTTGAGGATGATGGCTGTGATGAAAAGAGACACAGCGGGATCACAGTACAGCTTGCCCGGCCAGTCAGTGAGCCATATGATAAGTGCGGTGACGATGACGCCGACGTTGCCTAGAGCGTCGCCAAGAACGTGAAGCATCATGGCATTCATGCCCATGTCAGCATGGTTGTGGCCGCTCGCCTTGGATCCAGCCTTTCGCGGCAAGGTATGGTTGTGGCCGTCGTGAATGCTCGAGTCCCGGCGTGAACGCTTGTGAGAAGTGTGCGGCACATGAAAGTCGTCGCCATTCGTTCCATTGTTGCCCTTGGTGCCGTGAATAAGGAGGGGAGTCTCTTCGTTGGCACGGGTCTCCGAATCGCCGGTGGCAGTGCCTTCACTGGTGTCACTTTCGGCGACCAAGCCAGCACCTGAGGATGCAGCCAAACTAGCTGCAATGATATCCTGACGGAAACTCGCCGGGTGAATGCTTATGTCGTCGATGCTTTGGAAACGGGAGTGCCCATTCTTACTGGTACGCTGCGGTGCGCGTCCCCTCAACTGGCCAGAAGCATGATTTCGACTACTGGCGTCATTGCGGCCTGTTGTGGCCTCGAGCCTCTCGCTTGCGCGTCTGACAATGGCTTCCGGAAGAACATCGCCGACGGCGCCGCCCTCATCGGCCACACTGCTACGCAAGTCTCCAGACTCTCGGCCTTCGTCGATAGCATGTTCATGGCCGTGGCCGTGGATGTGCGCATGTCCATGTTCATGATCATGATGAGAATGACTGTGGCCATGCCCGTCTTCTTCGTCTCCATGAGAGTGTCCATGACCGCCGAGAACAACGAAGCCAAGAAGATTAGACGCCAAACCTGCACACCCGACTATGAGGATGAGCTTGGGCTGATTGATCTCTGGAGGTTCGACGAATCGAGTCAAGGCTTCGAGAATGATGGAAACGCACAGTGCGATCAAGAAGACGGCATTGAAGAAAGCACCAAGAATTTCAGCACGAACCCACTAGGTAGAGAAGAAAGCCGACGGTTAGACAAAAAGCGAATCGTTATCAGAAAGAGTACCATCCATTGTATACGCACTCCAAATGTAAACTCGTCCGTCGTCTCTTTCTGCGCTGCCACAACGGCCCATAAGCCGATTACAAGCGAGATGATGTCGTTGAGCTGTGATGAGAATTAGCCAAGTCTACTCCCCGAGCTGCACTGATCGGGCCAGAAACAAAAGCGCAGGAGGCATTGGATATTGGCATACCATGTGAAACGCATCAGCAGTCAAAGCCAGGGAATGCGCGAGGAAGCCGCAAATGAGCTCGAGCAAGAAGAAGGCCGTGTCGATGGCGATCATGACCTTGATCCGCGTGCTCTTGGACCACGCCATTTTGGCTGCAGGCAATGCGACAGACGGCGCAATATTGCGCGATTGGTCTTTGATGACGATGTCGACGTTGACACGAGACAACCAGTGGGACGACCCAAAGCGAAGCAACGGGCGCGACGGTCGATACCAACTATGTAGCGAAGAATAAGAGAGTTTGTGTTGAAATGGAGAGAAAGAGAAGTTAAGGAGCGAGCGAAGCAGAAGAAGGCTGCTTCAGCTTGTGATGGTGGGTTCGGTGTTGGCTCGTTTGGCGTTGGCGATTGCTCAAATCATAAATGACAACAGCTCGATGACTCGATTTGCATGAGCCGGCGGCCGGACCTGCTGAATAGTTTGAGTTGGTCCTGTTTTGCAGGATTTGATAGCCGCTTGGAAGCACTCCGTCCGTTGACGCTAGCAGAGTGTGTCAAGGACTCAAGCACGTACGTCTTGCAAGTTACACGTGCTGAAGTACCTATGTATCAGATATAATCCGGCTGTAAAGTACCTATGTACAAGCTGAGTGCCGAGGCCCCGGTGGCACCTACGGAGTATGGAGTACACCCACATGCATTCGATCGCGAATTCGATTAGGTAAGCTAAGATGTATGTAGTATGTAGCTTGCATATTGTGTCCAAGGTGCCACCGTATGGGGTGTATGTCCGAAAATCTCGAAGCCTGGATAATTTACTGACTTGCTTTGACAATTGCAAGCTGAAAACTCCTGAGACCATGCGTTGGCAGCATACAGAACTCCATGCAGCACTCCATGCAGAACCAGGGATAGCATGGCTGTCGGACATTGGCGGTACGTTGCTGATTTTTCGAACTTTCGACACAAAGCTGACGCACAACCGGCACAAGTACATACGGAGTACAGAAAAAACCCACTTCATCTCATCTTATGATCTTAGTCGACCCCCCAGTCGCGGCTCCCCGCTTTGTCGTGTCGTGTCGTTGCTACCTTATCGGTGCCACAACTGCTTCAAACGCTGCACCTGCATGTGGTCAGAACGCACGGTCGGCGAATCATGCCGGAATATGCTACACAGAATGTGGACGTGAACAGCGACATGCGCGCTTCGCAAACAAAGCGCCGCAAACTCGAAATTAAGACCGGCAACATTCAGCAGGCATACCATATATCTGGCACACAAGGCTCCAACCAGGCCTTGTTGTTTGTTCTTCGTTGTCGCTGGCTTATTACTAATAACGCCATGCATGATGTCGCTGCCGAGGAAGCTTTTTGGAAACTCCACAGGCTCACACGAGGTTCAAGGTCGCATCGCACCGGTACGACGCGCTGCCGCTCCTGCAAACATGCGTACGGTGGTGTCTGTGCTGTTTGATGCTCGGAGTAAGCACTGACCAAACAGTCTAGAGCTTCAACCTGATCCGGGACAGCCCATCGGGACGCCATGAGAGACAACGACGCCGCCAATTGAAGGCCCAAAAATGCAGAAATTTTACGAAGGCTTGCGGTGTTTGTTCGATGTGATGGACTGCTACAGCTGCAGCCCATCCATGATGACACGATGATGATGACGTGCGGCACTGCAGGAGAAGACACCGACGTGTATCACCTTGTGAATCACATCACCATGGCATTATTTTCTTTGTCGCGACCCTCAGCGCAACGCTCTGGCCACTTCAGTAACTCGACTCGAGTTACTCGAGTAGTGTCGATCGAAATCAGTAATAGCCTGATGGTCACATTGAGCCACGAGAGAAACGTAAAACGAAGAATTCGGCACCATCTCCACACGATGATACTTTCGTGACTGAAGCAACAGCCACAAAGTGCTAAGTCGAGCCCAGAATCTTGACATTCCAGGATGTCTTGTAAAGTTATAACGTTCCTCGAACTTCAGCTGACCTGTGTTTGCCGCTGACTCCTAAACAGGCGACTCGGCCTAACTACTAAGAGTCGAAATGGAGTCCTCGGCGACAGAGAAAGGCCTTCGCTGGTGGGATATAGCATTTCAAGGAACCCTACTCAGTGAACTCATCAACATGGCATGACAACAGAGCATTGCTCAAAACTGCATGGCCAACATAGGGCGACTTGCTCTTTCCTTATTTCTTACGAATTCCAACCCCGGTTGCGCCGTCGAGACAGTTCTTTCTTTAGCTGCGTTCCGCCCTCGGCTTGCACGAAGTATCACGGCCTGTTGAATCTGTTTTTAAGCAAGCCAACAAAATGACTTCGTCGACGGGCTTGCAAAGCTTGGAAGCTGACGACGAGGGGGAAGCTTGTTTGCGAAACAGCATACACTTACGGAAGACTGTGCTATAAATCGGCTGTCTCCAGATCAACGCAATATCCCTCGCTTCGCCCGTAGTTTGTCTTGCATCGCCTTGCTTCTTGATTAAGACCTGTAG